TTGGTGTAAATAAAGACCAGTTCCTCAAACGACGGCATTCATCTCTTGAGTTGCTCAAAGCTCGGTATCTGCTATCAAGATACTTGTGGTTACCCACTGAAGATGCCACCTGGATTGTTTGGGAAACATCTGCCTTCCAATTGCTCAGTTCGGAGAACGAATCATACTTCAATGTTAATGAGTGCATTGTCTTTGCTGTCTCATGTCAGCTTATCGAGCTCCAATACGAATCAAAATTTTCTCAACACAATGAACGCCGTAACTAGCCACCGACCTTGAAAACGAACTTAAAAGTTGGTGTACAGCTCACGGCAAACGGAATTCCAATGTGCCATATCCACTGTATCTGAATTCGTCCCCATACATCACGGCTATGCGAAAATTAGACACCCATATGGCACGACATTCTATGATCATTTGCGCCTGATTATTTTAGGTAACGCCACTATCGTTCTCTTGCATGGTACTGAAAAGGGTTAGAACTAACAGTGTCCATAGGGCTTTGTCGCACAATAGATGAAAATGAGGAGGCAAAGCATAGCGCGCGTAATCAGTTGACCTTTGTACATGTGTTTGCAGATGACAGGCGACAGTAACCATTACCCCAAACCATTCGGCACGAGCCAGTAAAGCGACACCATCTGTTCAGTCCAAATAGGCAGTAATTACGACTAGGTGGAAGTGTCCCCTTTCCCCCTAACACTGTACGCATGTGCGTTTTTACTTGCCTCTATCGATCTGTCTACCGGCACGTCTGATCCAGTCGTTTGTTACATACAGATACGTACACCTGTACAGCATCATAACCGTGCCAGTTGTGTGGCAGATTCCGAATTCCAAGAGTCACCGTTTTTCACCTCCCAGCGGCACAAATGGTAACTACTGTACGGGATGTGGGGCGCATTTGCGGGCGTACGTAGAAAAACTAGTCAGGTAACGAGTCATTTTAGACAAGCAGATGGGCAAACCGTTAGAGATGCTCACTCTTGTCAAGTTTGTTCGTAGCCTACCCATTTACCTCCAATCCAACTATTGCCTTGTCATCGAAATTTCACGTGATAAGCTACAATTTCAAGTGCCAGCTTGGTGTACTCAACGAGGTCACATGTCGTCAACTTAACTTATCATCGAGTGCGGAATCCCGCTTATCATGATATTTGTTTGTGGCAACATATCCAATGTAGTTAAACCTTAATTTCGCTCAGTGAATCAAGTGAAGACCATGGGGAGCAAATCAACAAGAACTTGAAGAGAATGACATGCATTTTTGAATACGAGATTCGTTTGAACAGGAAGCGCTTAAGGTGCACAAAAGTCCACATTTCATCCACGAATTACTGCAGCAACAGGAGTTTAATGACAGACCACAGCAGTCTTAATGTTCGAAGACGTGCATGCAGAGGGAGGAGAGGGGTAGGTAACAGCAATACGTACAATGAACCATGAATTATGGCGGGGACAAGTACTATTGCTTGACACATCCGTTGGGATGAGCGGAGTGAGGATTACAAAACCAAAGATGAAATTGACAGGAATAGTGGGTGAATATTCGAGTTCGAAGTGAATTCCCAAGCTAGCCAACTTCCTGCATGAATGTCGCTTGGAAGTGAGATTACGACAGTCCCTGCCCGACGCAACTGAGGTGGAGTGCCGCGTATCACAAGGCTCGGTACTCGGGCCACGTCTACCCTTGATTTTCTTAAACCAACTAACCAGGGAAATTACTTACGATTTCCTATTCTACGCGTATGATATCAAGTTATGGAGAGCGATCGAAGAACCGAACGACCACGAAAAGCCCCAGCGTGACCTCAACACGATTTCAACCAGGTCAGTTCTGAATATCCAACCGCTCAAGGGGGAAAAATGTCGCGCTGTTCCATTTCGCCATAGACATGACTACGCGTGTAGGCTTGGGTCATATTTATGGCAAACAACTCAAGGACTCGACCTTGGTGTGCTCATTTTACTGATGTTAACAGTTCAAAGCAGTCAGAGGCAGCTGCGAAGAGAGCCAACCAACAAGTCGTCTTGCTGCGGAGAGCATTCAGAAGGTTCGACACATCCATCTACCCGATAATGCGCAGTACTTACTTGCGCCCTACGTTGAATACGTCATCCAAGCTTGGCAACGTTGATTGAAGCTCGATTTAGAAGTACAAGGGAAACCACAATGCAGGGCCACACGGAACGTCAAGGGCCTACGAAATCTGTCCTACCTTCAAAGACTGAAATCACTGGAAGTTTTCAGTGGCCGCTACCGAAGGCTGCGCGGCGATCTCATATTAGTCTACCAAATATTGTGTGACCCTAATCGCGTATGCCGTCACTTGCTGAAACTCAGCCATAACACCAAGCTCAGAGGTAACCCTGAATTTGTGTGCACAGTTTAGCCGCCTGGAATGCCGGCAAAATTATCTTTCTCTTCACGTTTGCCAACCCTGGAACTCTCTCCCAAACTGCGTTGTTTCCTTCACCACCTTGGGTATCTTCAAAAAAATATCGGATCTTGCCCTTCGCCCAATCACTTCTTTGCATAAACTGTGCAACTTTTAAATATATTAATTATCACTCCAAAACGGATTAACATGTTGCATAAGCCTGACGATGCGCGACAGAATTAAACGTTCTCGTCCTAACGTCTTACTTTTCGCATAGAGTACAACAAATATAACCGTTCCAATTTTATCTCGTCGTTCGCAATCAATTCGTACTCACACTTTTATTATTTAGCAGCTTATCTGCTAGATAAACGCTCAAATAGACAACCCACCTACCTTTTGAAAATTGTAGTTTTACCCCCCACGATTCTGCTGGACTTGTCAAGCAACAGCTATTTTACCCGACATAAAAGATTGGTCAATGTTCAATATTCGAATGAATTCAGATGCAAGATTCCCCACAGACACCTTACCGTGGCGCACTCTTTTTCGCGTTATTGTATTCGGCAAAAACCGGACTGTATTACTTATTGTGAAATGAGATGATAATCGCGACGAATGCGAGCGCCGAAGGGTGGCCTTTCTAGGCTCGCTCGTCTAGTGCGACAGCGCTCACACAACGGGGGATCGAGATATAGATCTCGCGGGTAATCATGTGGGCCGGTGATACTTTGGCAACAGTTCCTCTCTCTATATCATCTATATCTGTGGAGAGAAGAGGCACGCAGGCGACTCTCGTGCGGGGGAGGCACGCATCACGGGTCTAGGGTCGGCTCAGAGCGGTTGGGTGGGTGCGGTGAGGGGGGGGGCGTGCGTGTGTGTGACACAGCGCGAATTCACACCCACGAGACGTGACGTAATCGCGCATGCCCCTCAATGAAGTGCTCCGCTCTGTGGACTCCTGTCTGGGTAAGCGGCGTTAATCCGCGCCCTACCCTAGAGGGTCAGCGCCGCCGTAGAGGAGGGGAGATATCGGATCTGCCCCTAGACGGCTGTCGGGTGCGTTTAAGAATTATCGTGAGACAGGTTTAGCCACAGTCGACATCACATAGGCCGGGAAGGATACTCGAATCGCCGGGCCGGCGACTGCCGGTACGTAGGTTTATATGAATTGCCCCAACAGCAGCTTCGCATGTGGTGTCACACCACCATCTAGACGGGCTAGTCTGCTTCCAGCCACCCAACTACGCCAAGAGTACGATTGACTTCGGGTATTGAGAAACAAATTTATTTGTCTGTATCAGAGACTACTCTAGGCTCCAACTGAGTGAGTCTAGCGTTATAGATTGCGGGTAAGCACGTTCAAACACCCCTAGATACTAGAAAGCTATAGTGAGTTACACCATATCGAGGGCAGCGGGAGGGTTGAGGGGTGTAAGGGTGGAGGGGTGTGTGGGTGTTCACATCGCGTAGTGTAATACACCTATAGACCTCGCGTCCTATTTGCGCGAAGACTTCAGCATGCGACGTGACCGATCGCGTGACACACACACACACAAACACACACACACGTGGGGGGTTAGGGAGGGGGTTGGGGAATAATGGGGGATGTTTGTTAGTTGTTCATTCGTCTGGCACGGGCGGCTTGCAACGTATTTGACACACAGCCTGTCGTAGCAGATTACAACAGCTGCGAGCTGATATTCCAATACTACTTCACATAAGGTAAGACGATGATCTGTTTGAGCGACGCGAATAGAGTCGAGGGGCATCTCATTGGCCGTCACCTGAGGCGTTGCGTCTACGGGATGTTGTGAGGCAGAGTCGGGAATTTAAATTGTTTAGTAATTATTGTGTATGTTATATTTGATGATGGTATAGAATAGGTGTTTTGGGTAGAGGTTGTGTGGAGAGTATTTTAGAGAGATGGTTATGATAGATGTTGGGTGTGGGATTGGGTTGATGGGGTATTATGATATTTGAGGGTGTTTGGGGAGGTATGATTAGAAAGTTTCATCTATCTCGAAGTGGTTTGTTGTTATTTGGGGGGGGGTTATGGGGTTTCAAGGGGTTATTTGGGGATGGGGAGGTGGGGGGAGGGCGACGACGCCGTTTGGGCTTAGTCCCGACGACGGGAATATCTACTCAAGTGATCATACATCTACTACAGGACATCGACATCCCTCAAAAGAGTGAAGTGAAGTAGTATTATGATGTTTTTTTTTTGGATTTATAGGGGGGGAGTTAGATGGGATAGCAAGTTTGACTGTAGACAGCGCCAGAGTAGAGTTTGGTGAAGTAAAGGAGATGAGGATTACTTAAGCACAGGGTGGGGTTGGTTGATTGATAGGGAATGATGAGTGTGGGGGTGTATTTTATAGGATGTTTGGGGTGGGGGTGGGGGGATTTTGTGGTGAGTGTATGTGGAAGTGGGAGAAATTGTAGGGGAGTGAAAGGAGGTGTGTGAATGTGTGATTGAGGGGGAGATGAAGGGGTAGAGAGGGGGGAGATGTGAAAAGGGGGGAGTAGGAGGAGGGGGGAATGGGGAGTATAGGGATGTTGGGGTGGGGGGGGGGTGGGGGTGAGGGGGGGGGGGGGGGGGGAGGGGGGTAGAGTGAGATGGGTGTGGGGGGTGGTGGTGGGGTGAGGGGGTGGGGGGGGTGGCAGGTGGGGGGGGGGGGGGGGGGGGGGGTTGAGGGGGGGGGGGGTGGGGGGGGGGGGGTGTGGGGGTGGGGTGGGTTGGAGTGTGGGGGGGGGGTGGGTAGGGGGTGGGGGGGGGTGGGTGGGGGGGTGGGGGGGGGGGGTGGGTGGGTGGGGGGGGGGGGGGGGGGGGGGGGGGGGGGGGGGGGGGGGGGGGGTGGGGGGGGGGGGGGGGGGGGGGGGGGGGGGGGGTGGGGGGGGGGGGGGGGGGGGGGGGGGGGGGGGGGTGGGGGGGGGGGGGGGGGGGGGGGGGGGGGGGGGGGGGGGGGGGGGGGGGGGGGGGGGGGGGGGGGGGGGGGGGGGGGGGGGGGGGGGGGGGGGGGGGGGGTGGGGGGGGGGGGGGGGGGGGGGGGGGGGGGGGGGGGGGGGGGGGGGGGGGGGGGGGGGGGGGGGGGGGGGGGGGGGGGGTGGGGGGGGGGGGGGGGGGGGGGGGGGGGGGGGGGGGGGGGGGGGGGGGGGGGGGGGGGGGGGGGGGGGGGGGGGGGGGGGGGGGGGGGGGGGGGGGGGGGGGGGGGGGGGGGGGGGGGGGGGGGGGGGGGGGGGGGGGGGGGGGGGGGGGGGGGGGGGGGGGGGGGGGGGGGGGGGGGGGGGGGGGGGGGGGGGGGTGGGGGGGGGGGGGGGGGGGGGGGGGGGGGGGGGGGGGGGGGGGGGGGGGGGGGGGGGGGGGGGGGGGGGGGGGGGGGGGGGGGGGGGGGGGGGGGGGGGGGGGGGGGGGGGGGGGGGGGGGGGGGGGGGGGGGGGGGGGGGGGGGGGGGGGGGGGGGGGGGGGGGGGGGGGGGGGGGGGGGGGGGGGGGGGGGGGGGGGGGGGGGGGGGGGGGGGGGGGGGGGGGGGGGGGGGGGGGGGGGGGGGGGGGGGGGGGGGGGGGGGGGGGGGGGGGGGGGGGGGGGGGGGGGGGGGGGGGGGGGGGGGGGGGGGGGGGGGGGGGGGGGGGGGGGGGGGGGGGGGGGGGGGGGGGGGGGGGGGTGGGGGGGGGGGGGGGGGGGGGGGGGGGGGGGGGGGCGGGGGGGGGGGGGGGGGGGGGGGGGGGGGGGGGGGGGGGGGGGGGGGGGGGGGGGGGGGGGGGGGGGGGGGGGGGGGGGTGGGGGGGGGGGGGGGGGGGGGGGGGGGGGGGGGGGGGGGGGGGGGGGGGGGGGGGGGGGGGGGGGGGGGGGGGGGGGGGGGGGGGGGGGGGGGGGGGGGGGGGGGGGGGGGGGGGGGGGGGGGGGGGGAGGGGGGGGGGGGGGGGGGGGGGGGGGGGGGGGGGGGGGGGGGGGGGGGGGGGGGGGGGGGGGGGGGGGGGGGGGGGGGGGGGGGGGGGGGGGGGGGGGGGGGGGGGGGGGGGGGGGGGGGGGGGGGGGGGGGGGGGGGGGGGGGGGGGGGGGGGGGGGGGGGGGGGGGGGGGGGGGGGGGGGGGGGGGGGGGGGGGGGGGGGGGGTGGGGGGGGGGGGGGGGGGGGGGGGGGGGGGGGGGGGGGGGGGGGGGGGGGGGGGGGGGGGGGGGGGGGGGGGGGGGGGGGGGGGGGGGGGGGGGGGGGGGGGGGGGGGGGGGGGGGGGGGGGGGGGGGGGGGGGGGGGGGGGGGGGGGGGGGGGGGGGGGGGGGGGGGGGGGGGGGGGGGGGGGGGGGGGGGGGGGGGGGGGGGGGGGGGGGGGGGGGGGGGGGGGGGGTGGGGGGGGGAGGGTGGGGGGGGGGGGTTGGGGGGGGGGGGGGGTGTGGATGGTGGGGTGTTGGGTGGGTGGTTGTGGTGTTGTGTTGGTGGGTGGGGGGGTTGGGGTGGGGGGGGTGTTTTGTGGGGGTTTGTTGGGTGGGGGTTGGGGTGGGTGGTTTTTGGGGGTGTTGTTTGGTATAGGATTGATTATATGTGTAATTTGATTAGTGTAATATAGTGAGGGATGAAGATGGGGATAGTGGGAGATTTAAAGGGGATAGGGGGGTGGTGTTAAAGGTATGTAATTGATTATTTATTGTGGGAGGGGGTAAGTGTTGTTGATAATTTGTATGTGTGGAAAAGTACTGGGGGTATTTGGGGAGATGAGAGGGTGAGTGTGGGTAGTAGGCTATGTAATGTGAATCTGAGGGGGTTGGAAGGGGGGGAATGTAGGTATAATTAGGTGTTGGAGGGGGGGATTGGATGAGTGGTTAGAGGGAAAAGGTGTTTTTTTGGGGGTGGAGGGTGGTATAGTGTTGGAGTAATGTGAATACTTTTAATGGGATAGATGTTATGGTTTGTGTGGAGGGGGTATGAAGGTAAGGGTATTGAGGTTATTGGTGGAACTAATAGAAAGTGTTCAGTATTGTTGTGATAGGTTATTGTTTAAGAATTAAGGTGAGTGGGGTAATATATTTGTGTTGGCATGAGGGGGTGAGTTAGGCGGGTTTGGTATAATTGATGGTGGGTATAAGATGGAGTGGGGGGAATAAGAAGAGAAGACACGGATATACAGAGAACCGTTTCTTGGGTGGGAAATGTGCTGCGACGTAGGATGGCTTCTTGCAATTTCATTGGTGCATCCTACGTCGCAACAAGTTTACCACCAGCTAATAGAGGTCGCACCTGTACCCCATGGTGCCCGGAGGTGGAACCAATCAGAATGAAGCGTTCCATCCAATGATTGGTGTAAATAAAGACCAGTTCCGCAAACGATGGCATTCATCTCTTGAGTTGCTCAAAGCTCGGTATATGCTATCAAGATACGTGATCACACACTGAAGGTTCCACCTGGATTGTTGGGGAAACATCTGCCTTCCAATTGCTCAGGTCGGAAAACGAATCATACTTCAATGTTAATGAGTGCATTGTCTTTGCTGGCTCATGTCAGCTTATCGAGCTCCAATACGAATCAAAATTTTCTCAACACAGTGAACGCCGTAACTAGCCACTGAACTTGAAAACGAACTTAAAAGTTGGTGTACAGCTCATGGCAAACGGAATTCCAATGTGCGATATCCACTGTATCTGAATTCGTCCCCACACATCACCGCCATGCGAAACTTAGACACCCATATGGCACTACATTCTATGGTCATTTGCGCCTGATTATTATAGGTAACGCCACTATTGTTCTGTTGCATGGTACTGATAAGGGTTAGAACTAACAGTGTCCATAGGGCTTTGTCGCACAATAGATGAAAATGAGGAGGCAAAGCATAGCGTGCGTAATCAGTTGACCTTTGTATATGTGTTTGCAGATGACAGGCGACAGTAACCATTACCCCAAACCATTCGGCACGAGCCAGTAAAGCGACACCATCTGTTCAGTCCAAATAGGCAGTAATTACGACTAGATGAAAGTGTCCCCTTTCCCTCTAACACCGTACGCATGTGCGTTTTTACTTGCCTCTATCGATCTGTCTACCGGCATGTCTGATCCAGTCGTTTGTTACATACAGGTATGTACACCTGTACAGCAGCATAACCGCGCCAGTTGTGTGGCAGATTTCGAATTCCAAGAGTCACCGTTTTTCACCTCCCAGCAGCACAAATGGTAACTACTGTACGGGATGTGGAGCGCAATTGCGGGCGTACGTAGAAAAACTAGTCAGGTAACAAGTCATTCTAGACAAGCAGAAAGGCAAGCTGTTAGAGATGCTCAATTTTGTCAAATTAGTTGGTAGCCTACCCACTTGCCTCCAATTCAACTATTGCCTTGTCATTGAAATTTCAGGCAATAAGCTACAATTTCAAGTGCCGGCTTGGTCTACTCAACGAGGTCACATGTCGTCAAGTTAACTAAGCATCGAGTGCGGAATCGTGCTTATCATGATATTTGTTTGTGGCAACATATCCAATGTAGTTAAGCCATAATTTCGCTCAGTGAATCAAGTGAAGACCATGGGGAGCAAACCGACAAGAACTTGAAGATAATGACATGCAATTTTGAATACGAGATTCTTTTGAACAGGAAGCGCTTAAGGTGCACGAAAGTTAACATTGCTGTTGTAACGCTTCTACTTTACCTCTGCTCTCTGCCACTGACGACTGTTGTACGGTTGCTAGCTGCCCTATGAGACTGCGACTGTCTGACTTCTCAGTCACGTGCCAACCCAATCGACGGAATACAGAAGACCAAGGCTCAGTAAACAGGGGAGTCTATCTATACCATAAGTTAACCGTATTTATAGGTAGCCGAAACATGCCAATTTAGGAGGTGAAGATCGCCCATTTTTGTGCGTCCGGTTTTCAGCCAGTGTGAGTGAGTTCCACTCCACGGGTTTATCATATTGACGGTATAGTTCGATTCGTTTTACGCGGACTGGTAATTGCTGGCCGATCAATTCTCAGTCGATACCCAACTTTAGCTCGGCTTACATCTCTATTAATTTCATCCACGAATTATTGCAGCTACAGGAGTTTAATGACAGACCATAGCAGTCTCCCTGTTCGATGCCGTGCATGCAGAGGGAGGAGAGGGGTAGGTAATAGCAATACGTACAATGAACCATGAATTATGGCCGGGGCAAGTACGAGTGTTTGATACGTCCTTTGCGATAACCGGAGTGAGGATTACAAACTAGTGATGAACTTGATAGGAATAGTAGGTGAACATTCGAGTTCGAAGTGAATTCCCAAGCTAGGCAATTTCTTGCATGAATGTCGCTTGGAAGTGAAACTACGACAGTCCCTGTCCGACGCAACTGAGGTGGAGTGCCGCGTACCACAAGGCTCGGTGCTCGGGTCACGTCTACTCTTGATTTTCTTAAACCAACTGACCAAGGAAATTACTTCTGATTTCCTATTCTCCGCGGGTGATATCAAGTTATGGCGAGCGATCAAAGAACCGAACGACCACGAAAAGCACCAGCGTGACCTTAACACAATTTCAACTAGGTCAGTTCTGAATATCCAACCGCTCAATGGGGAAAAATGTCGCGCTGTTCAATCTCGCCATAGGCATGACTACGTGTATAGGATTGGGTCATATTTATTGCAAACAACTTCTCAAGAACACGAACTTGGTGTGCTCATTTATACTGATGTTAACTGTTCAGAGCAGTCAGAGGCAGCTGCGAAGAGAGCCAACCAGCAAGTCGGCTTGCTGCGGAGAGCATTCGGAAGATTCGACACATCCATCTACCCCATGATGCACAATACTTACGTGAGCCCTAAGTTGAATACGCCATCCAAGCTTGGCAACCTTGAATGAAGCTCGATTTAGAAGTACAAGGGAAACCACAATGCAGGGCCACACAGAACGTCAAGGGTCTACGAAATATGTCCTACCATCAAAGACTGAAGTCACTGGAAGTTTTCAGTGGCCGCTACCGAAGGCTGCGCGGCGAGCTCATATTAGTCTACCAAATATTGAGTGATCCTAATCGCGTATGCCGTCACTTGCTGACACTCAGCCATAACACCAATCTCAGTGGTAACTCTGAATTTGTGTGCACAGTTTAGCGTCCTGGAACGCCGGCGAAATTATATTTCTCTTCGGGTTTGCCAACCCTGGAACTCTCTCCCAAACTTCGCTGTTTCCTTCCCCACCTTGGGTATTTTCAAAAAAATATTGGATCTTGCCCTAAGCCCAATCACTTCGTTGCCTAAACTGTGTAACTTTGGAATATATTAATTATCACTCCAGAACAGATTAACATGGCACATAAGCCGGACGATGCGTGACAAAAGTGAATATTCTCGTCTTAACGTCTTACTTTTCGCATAGAGCACAACAACTACAACCATTCCAATTTTATCTCATCGTTCGCAATCAATTCGCACTCACACTTTTATTATTCAGCAGCGAATCGGTTAAATAAATCCTCAAATAGACAACCCACCTACCTTTTGAAAATTGTAGTTATATCCCCACCATCCTGCTGGACTTGTCAAGTAACAGCTATTTTACCCGACATAAATCATTGTTCAATGTTCAATATTCGGATGAATTCAGATGCAAGATTCCCCATAGACACGTTACCGTGGCGCACTCTTTTTCGCGTTATTGTCTTCGGCGAAAACCGGACTGTATTACTTATAGTGAAATGGGATGCTAATCGCGACGAATGGGATGTAGGCAGAAGGTCAATCACGTCACAGGCCAACGCATCACTCCAAATAGTGCATGGAACGGTCACATGTGGTCCGTGATACATGGTCATACATGTACGCTCTGTTAACAATGGGTGCGGGGATGATTTGATGTTCATTCTCTGCCTGGATCCGTGTGCCGGCCCTCCTCAGACTGGTCGGGTTAGCACAGCTCGATACACGCTCGAAAACTCTGCCCCGTCCATTCTGTTCACGCAGCTGTTAACTTTGGTAATCTTAATCGCCTCAGCTGTCATCCTCTAGGGAGTTGATCGTAAGCCCTTTTTAAAGATTTTGATGTTATCCAAGTCGACTTCATACCGTATATCTATCGCCTGCTTGGCTACTGCCGAGCTTTTTAATAGAGCCACATCTTCACACAGATGGTGTACCCCACTATAGTTCAGGTCACCCAAAGCATGTGTATAATGGAATTGCCACATCATTGTTTAACAGAGCCCAGACTCTGTGCACAGAGGAAGAAGATAGGAAGACCACCAGGAAAGAAGCAAAGAACCAATTGCTTGGTAGTGGATACAGGAGACGGTTAGTGAAAGGCCAGTTGCAGCGAATTTTAACTCATCATCATTGGCGTACTACGGTGGAGTAGGACGGTAGGTATTCCTTATAAAGATGGAACTTCGGAGGCCATCCAGAGGGTCTTAAATAAAGAAGACATAAGGGTAATTTTCCAGAGAGGCCAAACGCTCCGCTCTACACTAGTGCACTTGAAAGACCCACTTCCTGCAGATAAGACAACCAATTGCGTCTACACATGTAGTTGCAATGACTGCGCACATGTGTACATCGGCCAAACCGCAAGAAAGCTACGCACAAGGATAGCAGA